ACATCTTCGCTTCCTCTCCCCCCCCCCGCAGATCCGAAGACAGCGCGGGCACGATCTGCCCCATGAGGACATCATATGCGTTGGCACCTATCTCGGCGCGGATCTTCCCCCTCCCTCACCTGCGGGAGGGGGAGGGAGGAGGGGCCCCCTCTGTCGGCCCTCTCAGCGAGTTTGGCAAACCCTCCCCCAGTCCAGTGTGGTAGGCGGGGGGGGGGAGAAAGAAGGAGAGGAAAAAAAAAAGAGAGCAACGCCGGCACTCTCGGAAAGCAGAGAAGAGTTTACATTTTCCGACACCCCCGACTGGGCATTTTGTCAGCCTGTCTGGGGCGGCAGGACCACTGGAATATTGAGCTCCGGGCCGGCATCACCAATGCCCGGCATGCAGCTGGCCGGGCCGGCGCCAACGCTGCCATCGGCCGAAATGTCGGCCAGGGCCCCGGTCGCTGCCGAGCCCGCCGGATGCCCGGTGGCCGGGAAGATCTGCATCAAGCCCACCTCGAGGTTCATCATGACCCCGGTGTTGAAGATGGCCTGGTCCGAGTTCCGCAGGAGGAGAATCGGCAAGGTCAGCCCGCCGGGTCCCTTGGCACCGGAGGGCTCAAAATGATGGCGATTGGCCAGATCAAAGAGCGGCGGCTTGGCCGGAGCCATCAACAGCGATGCCGACCGGAAGGGATCATTGCAAGAGGGAGCCGAGGAGGAGGACCAATCCGTGACGCCGACCTCCTGTGCTCGGCGACAAGCCGCCAGCGCATCTTCAAAGGAGGGCGGAATGCACACCAGCAGATTGGCACACCGGTAGCGCGACAGAACCGCAGGGACCGGGCCGAAGAAGACATGCAGATCCTCGGTGAAGTAATCACCATGGAGCTCCAAGAAGTGAAGATTCTGCAGCCGGATGGAGTCCAACACGGGAATGATGGACGCCGCATTGGTGGCAGGGACATTCATCGGCGGTGAATGGTGGAAGTGGAAGTTGTACTGGATGCGCTCTGGATGCGGCAGCACACACACACACACACACGAGCAGCCGGGCAGGGGGAAAGAGGAACAGGAGGGGTTAAGGTGATGCCATGAGTGGGATGGTGTCGGCAAAGGCAAAGCGGCGGAAAAGAAACGAGAGAGTGGCCCTACCCTACCCCCCCCCCCGCCCCCCGCCCCCTCCGCCGCTGTGGCCATAGCACCACACGCACCAGTGCCAACGATGGTCCAGGCGGCTGAGTCGGCAATGGTCTCGCCCTCCAGTTGGGCACTGGGTGAGACCAGGACGTCGATGTCCGGGGAGACAATGATCGGAGCAGCAGCAGCAGCAGCGGCAGCCTTGACTCCACGGCCGCGGCCACGGCCGCCGGTGGTCTTTTCGCCGGCCCCCTTGCCACCGACGGCGGCCGCCGCGGCCGCCGACGCCGACGGGATGGTTGGCGGAAGGACACACCGATTGGTCGCATGCGAGATGGCAATCTCATCCTCCACAAGGGCCAGGTAGGCTCCCGGCTGATCGCGCAGCTGGAAGGCCACCTTGTGAAGCTGTGACACCGGGACATCCGGGGAATTGGATCCGGCGTCATCGGTGAAGGTGGTTTGTGGGGGGGTGATGATGGCCTGCGAGCGCTCGACCTTGCGGATAACCAGCACCGGAGACACGATTGACGGGTCTTGGACCGAGCGCAGGACCACATCCATTCCATACTGCAGGAATTGCTCATCGGTCGGGGCATTGCCTGAATGCACATGCATCGAGGTACCATCGTGGAGAAGGGCAGGATGACAGGCAGGAGCACAGAGACAATGGAAGGTTCCATTTCGGGCGGGCCACGGAATGTGAGGAGAAACGAAAGGGGAGAAACCCTCGGACATATGTGCATGCAGCAGACTCCAGCGTGAAATGGCGAAAGTCCCCAGCTCGAAAGGACGCACGCGAAATGGGCCTCTCTCGACCATTGGGCCCGACGGCAACAATCGTAAACTCTTCCCACAGATGGGTGTGTCCGACGAACCGGCGCTGATCGGTGGCCAGGTACTTGGTACTGACGGTTTGCGATCGCAGGCGATTGAAGAGGGCCACATTCATGCCGGAAGTGATGCAGACTGCAGCGAGGTCGGGTGGGGGGGGGGGGGGGGGGGGGAAATACCATGCCAGGCAAGGGGGGGTGTCAGAGGACGATGCAAAAAAAGAAAAAAGAAAGGAGAGACCCAACAATGCAACCCAGCCAGTCGAAGAGGAGCCAGCCAGGTGCAAACAGAGGGAAAGACACAGACAGAAGGAGAGGGAGACCCGACATACGCTCAACATTCCGGTCGCCCTGACGCTTCTTCGAGGGCTTGGAGATGACCTTGAGTGGCCGGCTCCGGAAGACACCGAGCTCGCGTCCAGTTGAAGTGCACACCCGGGTGTGCAGGCAGACATGCTTTCGCCGATCGGTGTCACTGACAAAGAGCGATCGGAAGGCCGACCGCCCACAGGTGTCCGCTATTTGCCGGTGGATATGCAGGAAGGAGGAAGTGGTCCCGAGGGCCGACGGGCTCGACAGAGCTAGAGTGCTGGCACCGGCGTCTGGCCAGTCGCCCGAGCCGGCGCCACCATTGGCGGATGGCGGCGATGAGGCGACGCCCGACTCGCCGGCGGTCTGCTGCTCGTCGAAGGCAATCGAAATCAACGGCAAGCTGGACTGCTGGGTGTCCACGAACTGTCCACTGCGCAGGGGCCCAGCCACCAGGCCACTCACCGGAGTCAAGTCGGAGGAGGTGCCGGCCGGCAGGCTGGCCGCACTGGCCACCTCAGCCCCAGTGGCCCCCCCACTCGCCGAGGTGCTCGCCCATGCCGAGCCACGGAGCAAAACCAACGGCGGCGGGCAGAGGAAGCGCTTCTCCGAGCCATAGGACTTTTGTGCCACACGCGCCGACATGATAATCACCGAGCGCTCGGTCCGCGCCGGGTGCCGAAGATAGGCATACACCGAATCCAGCATGCGCTTCCGACAGGCCGGAGACAAAGGGCTGCCGGGTCCAGTGAGCGAATCGGCAGACCCCAAAGATGGCAGGCGCTCCTCCGGGCCCTCAGCCGGACCGGGCCCCTCGGCAGCGTCCCCCTCAGCCGGGGCGCCGGCGGCGACACCGGTGCCGGCGGCCACGGGTGTATTGCCGGTGGTGGTCGCAGGCGAAAGGGGGGGCCTTTGCTTGGCGCCCGCTCGGTTAGCCTGGCTTCGCCGGAGGTATGCGCGACCAGCTTCCGGACCCAGCAAGGCCATCGGGCTGAAGGAGCCATTGAAGACAAAGTTCGACCGACCTGCATGCATGGGGCCGGTATCGCCAGGTGTCGGGGCCGAGTTTGCCGGCGTGCTGGACAACGCAGAGGAAATGGCAGCGGCCGCTGCTGCGGCCAGTGCCACATCAGTCCGAGCCGTTCCGAGACCTGCGCGGAGGGAGGCCTTCTGGGCCCCGTGCGCCGACACCGACGCCGGGCCCGATGGCCGGCGATCACCCTGAGAGGCATGATGGCGTGATGGCATGCCGTAGCCTGCGCCCGGATCATCAGCTAGTCGGGCCAAGGCCGGATCCGAGGGAGCGGAGGGAGTTGCAAGTCGGGGCTCATGCTGCGGGGCCGTTGTCCGATTGGGCGGGCGCTGTCGCCCTGCCTGCTCATGGGAGGAGGGATGATCGGCTGTCTGCGACTGATACTGCTGCTGACGATACTGCGACTGCGGCGGTTGTTGCTGCTGCTGCTGCTGCTGCTGCTGCTGCTGCGGTGGTGGCTGGGAATATTGCGTCTGATACTGCTGCTGCTGCTGCTGCTGCTGCTGTTGCTGGTGGGCATGGTGTTGCTGCTGCTGCTGCTGCTGCTGCTGGTGGTGGAAGTGCTCATCGGAGGCCAGTTGATGTAGCTGCTGATGGGACCGCTCACCAAGGTGCATGGCCCCGGTTGGGGCAGAGGACCCATTCCCGGGCAGGGTATACTGTTCGTGCTCCTGCACATAGATCTCCCCACCACGCGTGGCAACAGACGTAGGCTGCTGGTGCTGATACTGCGAGAGCTGCTGGGTTTGATGGTAGAGCTGTTGCGTCAAGCCCGGGGGGAATGCCGTCAAATCGATGGCACCATCGGTCTTTTGTTGGCTGGCCAACGTCGAAACAGCTTGGAGCCCGGTGAGTGGCATGTACGAGTGTGACTGATGGTACTGCTGCTGCTGCTGCTGCTGCTGCTGCTGCTGCTGTTGATTCAAGCCGGTGTGAATGCCGGTCGGAGTCATCGAATCCTGGGGGAGGAGGCTTGCCGGGCTGGAGGAGTGAGCCCTCGGCCCAGAGGCTGGAGACTGCTGTGACGAAGCACCAGACGCGTAGCCTGGGGGCGAGGAGGTTGGCAGCTGCTGCTGAGGAGGAAGGCCAAGCGAAGTGCCAGGCCGGCCGGCAAACTGCCCCTCAAAGTACGCCCCATGGTGTGCGGCGGCATCGCTTCCAGGAGCAGGGTACTGCTCCAAACGCAGGTGAGAATCCACAAACTGGGACTCATCCACTGGCAAGGGACCGGGAGATGGTGCATGCTAAGGTCAGCTCCCAGGCCGACACCGGGGGAGAAAAGAAGACCCACAAAGGAGACTCGAGACTGTACCTGGCTGGCGCACTTGCCTCTGCAGGGCGTCCAAGAGGTGGGCCTGCGATGCGTCGATGAGCTGCTGGCGCGATTGCATGGCCGGCGGCAGGGACAGACCGTGCTGGTGGCCCGGCAATCCGCCAGCCTGCGACTGCTGGTACAGCTGCTCCAGCTGATATTGATGGGACTGCTGGTACTGCTGCTGCTGCTGCTGCTGCTGCTGCTGATGTTGCTGCTGCTGCGGATGTTGCTGAAAGGAACCCTGGTAGACAGCCTCCTTGGACAGGTGCTGAGCATGGGCATCATGGGCATCGCGCGGGCGGGTGGTCGTCTGCAAGAAACGGCTGTGGTGCTGGTGATGCCCGGACTCCTGAGCCAGAGAGGCCTTCGGCGGATGGGGGGTCCATACCCCGGGGTTCAGGTGCTGGGGCCCGGCATCGGAGAACTGGTTATACGGCAGGCCACCCTGGGAGGGAAAGTCTGATCTGGGATGTGAGTCGGAGCGACAGAAGCGCAGAGGGAAGGGAAGGGAGGGGCGGGCGGGCGGGGCGAGAGACGCACTGCCAGGGGCAAGGGAGCGTTCGGCGGGGAATTCCTGTTGGCCCCCTTGCAGATGGTGTGGAATGTAGTTCTGAGTCTAGGTGGTCGGGGGGGGGGGGGTGGGACATGAGGAGCGGGCGGGAGAGGAGGACCGGGGAGGAAAGAAGAGAACAGGAAGTCCAAGGCCAGGGGGTTAGCACGGGAGCCAAATGGTGAACGCCCGGCGGGCAGGGGCGGGGGGAAAAGGGACGCACAAAATTGAGGGAGAGATCATTCAAGGGAGCCGCGCTGTTGGGAGGGAGGGCATGGCGACCGGGCGGCAGGGAGCGATTATCCTGTGTCATTTCGCCAGGGGCAGGACCCGGGCACCGTACGCTGCGCGCAGGAGCCAAGGGGAGGGAGAGGGGGGCCTGGGAGAAGAGGAAGGAGGGCTTTTCGATGTCCGGTGCGTGCGAGGAGGGAGGAGAAGAAGGAGCACAAGCAAAGGCAGAGAGGAGAGGGGGACAGTAGGCGGCTGGCATGGCTGGCCCTCGATGAGGGCGGCAGCTTTTGATGATGCCTGCCTGTGCGGGCGGCCTGGCCCTGCTCTGATTACGCTCCCCCCCCCCCCCCACTTGGCAGCAGGCTGATCGTGGGGGCCACCTTGTTTGGTGAGAGCAGCTCGGCCCCCATAGGCCGAGAACCGTGTGCCGGGGAGCGAGGCCGAGTGGGCGGGCGGGGAACACGGCGGGCCCAGAAAAATATTTCTCCGCAGGTCCGCAGAAAAGGTCGAGTCGG